TTTAAGTGTTAATGAAGTTTTTATTGTTTGCAGATTATTATATTTAAATTATGAATTTTTAAATTGTAATTTTCCATTAACTGTACAAAAAATAATTTACTGGTAATAAACATATATCAATTTTACCCATTTACTTTAACGTTTCTTTAAATACAAGTGCTTTTAAAACTCATTAAATATATATTTAATATATTATGATGAAGTGTTTGTTCTGCGCAGGGTCAGTTTTCAAATTTTTTTCCGCTAAAATATTCTGATCTGAACTACTTTGCACTTCACCAGATAAGTAATTGACAGTCTTTAAAATCCAGTAAAATGTTGAGCTATGGTTGAATTCAATGCTAACTGAAACCAGTAGTGATTCTTTTAAGTTTAAGCAATATCCTTGTATTTGGTATCATTTTAAGGGAAATTTAATGTAATTTATGAATTCAGAAGTTATTTTTTGGATTTATGCATGATTATAGTAAAATTTATCATAAATAGACAGCATTCATGATTTTGACTTTTATTCTATAAAANTAATCTTTGAAAAATATTCAAAATTATGTATAAACATAGTACATAGTATTTCAGGTATGTTTAATGTCAATCATAACTGTAAAATATTGCTCTTGTTCTATTTTGATTACTATAAAAAATCCCTAAAATTCCATATGTGCAAAATATTTAGTACATTTTGCAACAATTATCTTGAAATTTATATTTCGTAAAGTATACCAGGTTTTTTTTCCTATCAATGTTGACAGCTTTGTAAGGAAGAGAAATCTCATCTTTCCCTCCTTCCAACAAGATAGTCTGAAATTTATCTTCACTCCTATTAGAAAGCAAAAAACATTAAAGCAAATCTTAAATGTTGAGAGCAAGAATATTTTAGTAGTTCAAGTGATAAAAAGGTAATAATATCTAGTTCTAATTTAACTACAAAAGTATAGAACATTGATTCTAACTAATCAATTTAATTTTACAATGAAACAAAATTTCAGTAATGTATAATTTTTAATACTCTTATCTGAATGTTACAAAGTTGCCACTCCATAGGGACAACGGAATTTAAAAGTTACCTGAAATAACAGGAAAAATGCAGGGGATTTTTATTTTTTCTCTACAAATTGGGAAAAGCAAGGAATTTTAGTTCTTATTTTCGTATTTTTAAAAAATGGTGCCCACTTAAAGCGTAATCTATGGGTTATTTAAGAATGTTCAGCTGTTCCTTTTTTTCCTCGAAATTTTTCCCTCAATTAAAGTTAGTATAGTTAACCCAACACAGTAATTGTGTTTCCTCTTAATATATTGTGTATAATATGTACAGGGAAAGCACAAGGAGTTTGTTTTCCAGATTTGAGGAGCAGCCCTGTGTTACTTTTTTTATTTAATAGTAAATTTTTGCATAATTTTATATTATATATCTATATAAAATATGGTATGTAAACCTCAAATTTGTACTAATTTGAATTCTGTAAAGGCTAACTGCTTAAAAAAATTATTTAAAGCAATGTAAAAACAAAATATTATATGCCATTCTGAGTTTGAGCCCTGCTAATAGGAAAAAGTAAAGTCCTCTTATGTTAAGAAGATGAGCAGTCAAGTTTTTACTAATTTTTATTCATCAAAATTGAGAAGTTTATCTATTAATGATGGCATCACAAAGAAACACATTCCCTTCATCATAAACTTCACATTATGCATCCTTCACAATAGAGCCTTTTTTTTTTTAGCAAGACAGATTCAAAAAGTCAATTTTGTAGCATTTCTGGCGGTCAGACTGAGGGGCCATGGGACATACGAAAACCCACTAGTCCTAAGTCCAACATTTTCAAAATCCAAATGTATTTGTTGCTCTTAACCCACACTTAGCAGATCCATTATTGGCGAGTTATTGAGAAATGGTTCTGCCAAAACTAAAGCCAACTAACATTAAATTAGAAATAATTTGGCTTGAAAATTAATCACCAAATATTCCCTTCAGAATTTAACCCCATAACCAAAAAATTTATGTGGTTCATAAAAAAAATAAAGCTGCTTAAACGAAGTTAGATTTTTGAAAAAAAGAGCTTTTGATATTCATTTTGTCGCAACATTGAATTATAAATAGTTATACGTTTGCATTGCGCAAAGAATTACATTTAGTGTTAAAATAAAATTATTTATTTTCGCTTTGAATGAAATTGGATAAAAATTAAACAGTTGATTTAATTTGCTTAGAACAAGATTTGGAATGATTAAACATGGTACGTAGTTTTTTTAAAAAATGCTTAAAGGTGCATATTTTCAATTTTTTAAAGCCCTTAAAGATGTTTTTTTCATTGGGTGCTTTTAAAAAGTGCTTAATTTTCCCCTTTCGAAAATAAGGTTTTAATTTGTTATTATGTCGATTTTCTCCATGTATTATGCAAAAGCTTGCTTTTCACTTTGTTTTATTCGACGCTTTCACATTTCATTCGACCACAATCGGTTTCGGCGTACCGTCGGTTCGTAACGTGTGATAGCGCCAATCATTTTACGTGTTTTACATTATTTTATCATAATCGTGTAAAGTCTTTGAAAATTATTTTGCATCTTTTTAATGTATAGAGTGCTTAAAAAGTTCTTAAAAGGTGCTTATTTTTTATTGAAAGATTTGACTACGCACCCAGTTAAAAAGTATTATAAATTGAGGAAATAAAGAAATTTTAAAAGCTACGAAATATGTATACCCTATAATAGCATGACAATATTTTTCAAAATAGAAAATTTTTTAATTAAATATGTTTTTGCTAATTAGTTAAAATTTTTAAGATCAGTGTCAGGTCAGCTAAAGTATTGCACAAAGTACAGAAGTTTTGACATTAACGATTTGCCTACATGTTTTTAATTTCGTGTTAAAAAGTAAATTGTTTTGTGAACTTATATTGAAACTTATAATGTCTTTCAGCACTTGAAACATTGAGTAACACAATAAAGTACTTAGTTAAAGATAGTGATCCAAACTGTGGAGAACCAGACGATGAAGCTGTGAAGATGAATATGAAGTGAGTATTCTTACTTATCTTGTCAAGAAATGACTCGTATGTTCCTTCTTTCTGCAATGATGGTGGGTGTATGAATTTTCTATGGAAGTGTCTGAAATAACAATAAATATCTATGCACATAAGTTAAAAATGTAGAGAAAATATGAAAAATATTAAAGATTAATGAAGAGAGAAGAAGAAAAAAGATTAGAATAAATCTTTAAAAAAATTATTTTTTTATATCTAAATTCTAAAGGAATGAATTGCTTAAGAGTCTTTTTAATATTGGATGAGCATTTTGATTCCGAAATTCGCGCCTGATTAATTCGAAGGATTATAAACAAACATAGTGAAAAAAATGTGAACAATCGCAAATATGAGAATTAATTTTCAAGCAATTAATAATTTTAACTTAAGCAATTTAAATAATTAAAATAACAGCATACTAAAAAGTGCTTTGGTAATATATTAAAATTTTGAATTAAATAATAGTATATTTAAATTTTGAAATGTAATATTTTTAAAAAATAAATTACATTGAATTACGAGAACACCTTTACAATGAGTGTACTACAAAAATTCTTTAAATCAAATAATCCCTTCCCCCAGATTCAAGTGTAGAAGAAAAAAAATTCTTTCAAACTTTAGTATTTTTTGAAATCTAATAAATTAAAAATGCTTTTACGCTCATATTTGTAAAAGGCACCAGGCTTAAATTTGCAATCAATCACTGAAATGGTTGTCCTATGTTTTTTTTAATTTGTTTTTCCTTCTCTGCTAGAACTTGATATTATTATAAATCCATTCTCAGGATTGAGATATTTTTAAAGAGAGTTTTAAGTGTTAATAAAGTTTTTATTGTTTGTAGATTATTATATTTAAATTATGAATTTTTAAATTGTAATTTTCCATTAACTGTACAAAATATAATTTACTGGTAATAAACATAATTCAATTTTACCCATTTACTTTAATGTCCTTTTAAATACAAGTGCTTTTAAAACTCATTAAATATATATTTAGTATATTATGATGAAGTGTTTGTTCTGCCCAGGGTCAATTTTCAAATTTTTTTTCCACTAAAATATTCTGATCTGAACTACTTTACACTTCACCAGATAAGTAATTGACAGTCTTTAAAATCCAGTAAAATGTTGAGCTATGGTTGAATTCAATGCCAACTGAAACGAGTAGTGATTCTTTTAAGTTTGAGCAATATCCTTGTAATTGGTATCATTTTAAGGGAAATTTATTGTAATTTATGAATTCAGAAGTTATTTTTTGGATTTATACATGATTATAGTAAAATTTATCATAAATAGACAGCATTCATGATTTTGACTTTTATTCTATAAAACAAACTGTCGATTTTAAAGAAGAAGAATTTATTAAAAATATTGCAATTTTACGTATAGTTTGATTTATATTGTAAAATAAATTCTTCCTGATGTGCTAATTATGAAGTGATTTCTGTAAAAAAAAATTCTAGTTTTGTAAGTCAGAAATTATCTTAAATATTTATTTGTTCCCTTTGTTGCAATTTTTCTTTTAAGTTTATTTTATTCATTACCACCTATACCTTTAACTTAACCTGTTAACTTAATAACTAGTTTTTTTCAATAAAATCTATTAGAGCAATCATGTTATGTTACATTTTTGAAAAAAAAAAGTTTAACAATTTTAAAGTTTTTTATATAACAGAGAGGACAAAACTTAATGTCCCCTTAGTTACACAGAATTGAGAGGTTGACCATTAAAAATTGACTCTACGAATATAAACAATTGCTAATACATCCTGAGTCAACTAGTTTAAACCAGTCCCTCCACTACTTTTTATCAGATAATTTTGCTTGTAAATTTAAAAAAAAAGGGAAAAAAAGCTTATATAAATTGAACAAAAAGCCAATAAAATCAAATAAATACAATTTTTTTAATTACCAACCAATACTTACTGAAAAAATTTCCATAAATTTTATGTATAGAAAAAAATGAATACATTTGTCTCTGCAGCTTGAAGAATTGGGCATAGTGTTGAGCGACCCCATTCAAAAAGTATTAAAAACAAAGTTTAGCGCTGCTTAGGAAGAGTTCACTGCTAAGAATGAACTGGAAGACACTTATGCCTTTAATCTCAAAACACTGGAAGGTAAGCTTAAATATTTTCTCATAGGAAATTAGAAAAGTTATAAAGTAATTTCCTATCAATTCCTTAGTGTGCAGTGTTTAAATGGGCTTATTTTCGCTTTTTTAAAAGCCCTTAAAAGTGATTTTTTTCTTGTTTTAAAAAGTGCTTAAGTTTCCCTTTTCAAAAATGAAATGTTGAATGCAAAAGCGTGGTTTTAACATTGTTCTATTCAACGTTTTGCGTTCATTCAAACACAATGTATTACAGCGGACCATCAGTAAGTAGCGTATGAAAACGCCAATAATTTTACATGTTTGATGCAATACTTGCGGGTTCACGTGTGCGTATATTGAACTGAGTTCGGTGAGATGCTTACACTCTCATGTGCATTTTACAAAATATTTTCAATATCAGGCTTCATATTCCATCTTCTGAAATCCATCTGAAAAATCTCTCTATCTTTTTATGGTGGCTAATATAATTAAGAAAAGAGTTTTTTGTCAGAAACTAGTTATTTTATCATGATCATGTAAAGCCTTTGAAAATTATTTTGCATTTTGTTAATGTAAATAAGGCTTAAAAATATTTTTTGAGTGTTTAAAAAGATGAAGACTTATAGCTGAAATTATAAAAGAAAATAAATTAAACTTTACAATGAAAAAAAAATTTAAAACTATTAAGCATTGGATATTTATTTGAAAACAATATTATTTCATTTGAAAATGTTTTTAAAAAAAATTTAATATCTTTTGCAATGAAATTCAGTAGGTAAATTCCGGTATCAATACCTGCGTCAAAAAAACCTCAGCAGCGCCACACAAGAAGCAAAAAACAATGTATTGGAAAGGATATTAACTAAAAGTTTAGCCCATAAACACAACTATAAAAGCTGTCACATATTTAAAAAAAATTTTCAAGCAGCAAAACCCTTTAACCCCTTTTATTAGACCTGAAAATAACTACCCGCTATGTGGCAAGTGAACAGAAAAAGTTGCGAAAAGTGTTAAATAAACAACTGCTTATTTTTTTCCAGTGCTTATTTCAAAATTCGTTTACCGTAAAAGTACGTCAATTAAAAAAATGCACTCTGAGAATTCAGAATTCATCAATTCATGGTTGAAAAAATCATGTGGAAGGAGAATTCTTTAACAATTCACTTATTTCAAAGTTGTAATATATACATTAAATACATTTTGACCTCCCCAATATTTTTAAACAACGTTCCTTAAAAGTCAGTATGAAGTTTTGTCGCATACTTATTATTTTAATTATTCAATTAAATTTTTATAGCCTTAGATTATTTTTAATAGGAATTTTTTTTTAAAAATATAATTTAATCGAAGTTAAAAAAAAATTTGCAACATGTGGCTTTTAAATGTCTTAAATGACATCATTTTGGATCTATTGACATCTGTCACCAACTCACTTAAGTGCAAACTTGATCAAGGTACAAAGCTGAGAATTGAGGAATGAAATTGAGGAATCATTAAAGGGCGTCCTAGAACGAATTACTAACATCTAAATGGTTACATTGGTGATGTTCAATTTCAAATAATTGTGTGTTGTCAACTAGTAATGATAAACGGAAAGTTATGTTACAAGTTCCATTGAGATATTTTATTCCATTTCAATGATTTATGGTAATAATATTAATTGGACTTAAAAGTACCATAAAGGTACATAAAGTTTTATACAAATTGAAAGGTACACTAAGTTTTATATAGTTTCAAAAACTTATAAATACTACTTTTTAAAGGATTTGATATGATATGAGAATAACTTCATTCAAATTAGGCATGATAGTCTTAATGATGAGGATGGCACATAATTTGCAGGTATTTTGCGATTCACCCTAGCTCTGGTAATAATGTGATTTGCTAATTCTTTTCTGACAAATGGGGGGGGGGATTTTTAGGTCATAAATTGTAATTTTTAAGTCAAAAAATAAATAAAACTAGTTTTGGTGATATTTTTAACAAGTTTGCTAGCGAAAAAAAATTGTAGGCCTAATGATTTCTTGCGATGGGCTATCGCTTGAAGGCGAAATCCAAACCTGTTTATCATAAGAATACTAAAAATTGCTTTTTCCGTAACTAGTTTTTGGTAGGTAAAATAGCATATACTTGGGCTAGCAATTTTCTACGAGGGTCAAACGTTAGGTCTCAAAATTCGAACTTGTTGTGTTTCTAGTTATGACATGAGAAATAACATGAGACGTGCAGAGATAAGAATGTAAATAAGGTTTTGGGAGAAGAAATCATTAATTTTATATTGGTTCAGTAGAACTTTTAACCTAATTGCTAAAGATTGGTGGCAAGGTTCAAACTTCTTCCTACGTCATCAAGTAGCTGTTTTTATTGCACTATATCTTTTTATATGGCTTGCCGTACGAAACTTGGGTGAACTATTTTCTATAATACGCTGACATTTCTAATCAAAATTCAAACTTGAGGTTTCAAAAACGAAATTTAACCAAAAGTAATTTTTGGTTTAAACGTTATATGCTTTTTCTGCTGAGCAATATAGGACAAATTAGTAATACTTTGTTACCAGCCAGTGACATTTTTGTAGGGGCAACTTTCTCAAAAATTTAAAACGATTAAAATAGTTGCTCATATTATTTATGTAAAGCCTTTCTCAAAATATCATTTAAGCTACGCGATTCATTTCTAAAATGCAGAATAATGTTTCCGTACATTTTAAGTTATTTTAAATGAAATATAATATAGTAGAGTATAAATAACTTTTTTATCTTATAAAATTTAGGGCTTAATCTTTTAAACCAGTAATACTAGTTGAAATTTGTTTTAGTTTAGAATAGTAAAATTTATTAGATACTAAAAAAACAGATATTATTGGGATTAATACGGTGAAATATTTCATTCAATTATTTTTAAATATCATCAACCATAAATCAAAATTAAAATTTAATGCGAAATTAAACTTGATTTCGAAAAATGAACCTTTGATAACAAAATTCAGTTTCCCTGAAATACTGATCCAGTGTAAAATAAAGTTTTTTCATTATTCAAAAATGAAAAACAAGTAGATTCCAAATTGACATGAAACTTTTAAATAGATCATTGCAAATAAAACATGTAAGAGAAAGAAAGGCGCTCAGAAATCCATATTACTGTTCAAACACTCTATAATCCAGTTATGCAAAAGTTTCGTGTATTCGAAAACTGTGAATCTCTATTTTTTTAATGTTACTCAATCTTCTGGAGAAAACAAAATGCTGCGTCTTACAAAAAACAAATTATGGCAATCAACGCTTATAAAAAAATTGTAACTGTAAAGCGAAAAAAAAATATATAATAGTTGTACCGAAATATCAAGTAAATTAAACAAATTTAAATTATTAAATAGAGGGGAAATAGTAAGAAAAATATACAAATACCTTACTTAATTTACATCTGTATTTATTAAACATTTTGGAACAAATTATCTGCGTTTCATGTTAGCTCACATAATATACTAAAAAAAAAAACTGCGATAAGAAATACATAAGTTTACTTTCATAAGAAAAAGGAAATGGCGAAATAAAAAAAAAACGCAAGAAATAGAAAAAAGTATACAGGTTGTTTATAAAGTCCCGGACCCATTTTGATGTTTAATAACTCATAAAATAATAAAGATAGATTAAAATCAATAACATAAATGATTAGATAGACTCAAAAAGTTTCTTGACCCTTGTCAATGAACTTCCACGTGTGCCCCCTTCGTCGCACAGAGAATATCAAGTCGATAGTCAATTTCACGCCAGGTAGCGGTAAGCATGTCGGCATCCACAGAGGCTATTGCAGTTTCCTGAAGAGCATAATGTTCTCGGACGAAGCATCCTTTCATGTTTCTGGCATTGTTAATCGCTATAATGTGCACATATGGGGATCTGAAAACCCCCATGAATACCGTGTGACACAAAGGGATTCCCCAAAGGTTAATGCGTGGTGTGGACTAATGCACGACCGAGTCATTGGGCCTTTCTTTTTTAAAGAAAAGACGGTCTCATCAGTCGTATGCTTAGACATGTTGGAAAACTTCGTATTTCCGCAACTAGAAGAGCTTCAGCCACATGTCTTTTTGCAACAAGATGGTGCACCACCTCATTGGGGTATCATTGTTCGTAGTTCTTTGAATGACCATTTTCCAGGAAGATGGATTGGGCGAGGAGGTCCAATTCCTTGGCCACCCAGATCACCTGATATAACGCCGCTGGACTTTTTTCTTTGGGGATTTATAAAGGACAATGTTTGCAGGAGGATCGTGTCGAACATTGATGACCTGAAAGCCAAAATTACAACCGCAATGGCCTCTGTGGATGACGACATGCTTGCCGCAACCTGGCGTGAAATTTACTATCGACTTGATATTCTCCGTGCGACGAAGGGAGCACACGTGAAAGTTCATTCACTAGGGTCATGAAACTTTTTGAGTCTATCTAACCATTTATGTTATTGATTTTAATCTATCTTTATTATTTTATGAGTTATTAAACATCAAAATGGTTCCGGTACTTTATAAACACCCTGTATGTCAGAATCACCACTTATAGCAAAATAATAAAGATAGCGAGGAATAAAACAAACACAATATATATAGGTATAAAAACGATACTAACAGTGTTTCTGACAGTTTTGAATGAAGCAAAAGAGAAAGAGGAAAATAAATCGTTTTGAATTCAAAAGCAAAATTTCATTTCTCCATATTATCTTGGAAAAAAGTGGAGATAGGAGAATAAAATCATCAGAAATGCTCTTAAGAAGTAACGCGTCGTAATAAAAACATCAATAGAAGCAAAAAAATTTTAAAGAAAGAATAATAGAAAAAAAAACAGCTCTAAAAATCTCAGTTTTTCATATTACCACAATTTTGGGAAAAACTAGTCATAAAAGAAAAAAAATTCTAGTAGAAACAGTTTAAAAAAACCGCTTCATTATATAAACAGAGGTAATAAAAATATTATGGAAAAAGAAAAAATGGAAAAAAATAATTCTTAATTCTTAAAACAAAACTTAAAAGCCGCAAATTTTAGGAAAAAGCGATGATAGTAAAAATTTATCAAAAATAGACCTAAAAAATGAGCCTGAATAAAATCACCGTTAAAAACAATAATTTAGAATTTAATTCGAATAAAAAAATTTTTTTTAATTCCCAAAAGAAACCTGTATCACTGTAAGTCTCAGTTTTTCGTATTGCTGCAAGTGGAGAGGAATAAAAAAAATAGTTTTATTCGTCATTAAAATCTTTTTTAGTCATCTTGTAACGTCTGCGAATGAAAGAATGAGTGGGAGACCGGGATTGCATGGTTGGTAGAGACTTCCCGTGTAGTAAATAGTGAATGGTGCACGTTAAGTCTGTCGGGTCACAAAATCCTCCATGTTTCCAAAACAAATCACACTTTTGGGGGAAATAGATCGTTCTCTGGTTCAGATCAGAATTATGATCTGTGTATGTATGAAAGGGTCCATCTTTTAAACGAGCAGTGACGTGTGTCTGAAGTCGCTTTCTGTCCATAGACGGATCCACTGCAAAGCAAAAAGCATACCCTCTGCTTCAAAATTCTCTTGGTTACACCCAGCATGCTTGTTGGTATAAACAAGTGGCATTAGAAACAGCAACAATAAGTGTGGAAGTAAGAGTTTTGGTAGCATCTTTCAGGCTTAATACAAGAAGTCGAAATCACTGATTTTTGAGCAATTTTTGAGGAAAAAGTAGCGTCAGGAGGCGAATCGCTGGTATTTGTTTAATCGCCATTTCTTATATATTTAGTCTCCCTGTGGCCGGTGTCAACTGATAATTCATCCTTACGTTTAGATGGCTAACTTTGGTTGACAGAGGTGTAGGGAAAAATTGAACGCATATAACAGTTTTTTAATAAAATTTTTCTTCGAATAAATAAATAATAGTGACCACTGATTCAATATGTGTCGTAAGTTCATTATTATTTTAAAAGACTAAAATTTTATTCATATCTTACTGATTACTTTGCATTTTATAGGACAGGATGTTGTCTTTATGATGGAGAATAGTATTTTGCGATTCATCATATCTTTGGTAAGAATTATACACAAGTACTTCAATAAATTTTCAGCCCGTTCAAATATAATAAAAGTACCGAAAGTCGGAAAGGGATTTGCTCACTTTTTCAGGCAAAGTGGGAGGAAGGATATGAGCGATGTCTGATAGCAAAAAGTTAAATAAATTCAAGCTCAAATTTACTGATATATCATAATTTAATTATATTATGAATACTTGAAACGCATCATATAAATATAAATAACATGTAAATTTGGTTTAAAGTTACGACAAATAAACCCTCCGACAGTTTATGAAGTGAGCCTATGTTTTGGGGCAAAATTTCTTTCTAGATTAAAAGTCTCCGAAAACTTGTTTTAGCCATATTTTTTTCTAGGTGGTGGGATAATGAAATTTTTTGCTGCGCCTACAGTTTCCTACATTTCTCGGCAAAATTTTACAGTTTTTATGAAATAAATGATCTAATACTTGTTTTGGCCATACTTTTTTTTATTAATGGAAGGGCTTACAAAACTCTTTGTTAGGATAGCTATTTTCTACAACGGATGAATATTTGAAGGCAGTATTCCAAATTTTAAAGCAAAAGTTATCTTACGCTTATTTTTTCTGTAACCTAAATTTGATTAATGGAATAATGAAAATTTTCGTTGGGAAGACAATTTTGTTCGATGGCCTAACTTCTGGGGGTGAATATGTAATATTTCTTAAAATATAAGGAAGGATTCCCATGTTCGAAGAAATTCAACTGTAATTGTGGATGCGATGTCTATTTCAAAATGCTCGTATAATGTTAGTCTGTAATTAACTATTGTTTAATTAGAGACATTTATGTCCCTGTTTAAATAATTATTTTAAATTAAAATCCCTCTGACAGTATCTTCTGCGTTTCGCTTTGTTTCTCAATTTTCTCACAATAGTTTTTTAAACTCTTGCACTTTAACTACAGCCATCTTTTACAAAATTTTTATTAAAAAAAATTGAACAAAAAATTAGATTTAAGAAAACTTCTTACACTCAGATTCTTTTATGGCAAATTTAATTTGATAAAGAAATTTCCTTTTTAACAAATAAGTAATCTTAGATGGCAGCAATTTATTATTTCATTAAAAATTTTCACAATCTGATCATTATTTTAGCAATTTTTGTCTTTTAATATTACATAAATGATTGAATACTCAAAAAATTTGATGCATCATTGAAAATTAGGAAAAGGGGCAACATAAATGGTTAAAAATCTCTTATTCATTTTGATTATACCATAATAAAATGCTATATTATATGGTGAAAAGTCCAACTTTGATTACTATTTGATTCAATGCGGTACTGAAAACAAGGAAAATATATGATTGTTAAAATATTATAAGTCATATTTTTTCAGCTTTCGAAAACTATTGTATACTAATCCAACTAAGAGTCTTAGCTTTTAAGGGTAACTCAGAAGAAATCTTCGTGTTAGTATTAACCAGCATTTATATAAGCTTTCAAGAAAATAAAAAAGAATACGCAATACAAATAAAGAGATATATTAATCGGGAACATATTTTCGTATACTAAAAAGAAATTGTCTTCAAGACTTGCAACATATTCGACAGGAAGACAACATATATTCGCCGAAAATAAACAAACAAAAAAAGGTATTTTGCGTTCAGAAAATGTATGAGGACTCCTAGTTAGGTTAAAGCCATTTTTGAAAAAAAAATGACCTTCATTATAGTAAAATAATCCGCAATATATGTAAATTAAAATAATTAATTTCTCTGCTGAAAGCATTTAAATTCATGACGTAGACTTACGAAAAATAGATTAATTAATGAATTTTTAATTAATGACTTATAAATAACAATGTTAACCGTAACGTCCTGATAAGGAATGTTTGCTAATAATGATAATAAAAACATTTCTAGATTAATTTCCTGTAGTATTAAATATATATACGTTTTATTAAAATATCTCGATTAAGAACAGTACATTTTCCATTTAAAATAAGAGTTTCTTAATAAATCTCAATGTAGTGAAGAATTCAATTTATTGAACTAAGGGTAAACCTTGCCAAATTGCGGCAAAAAAATAAAATTAAATATCGTACAATAAGCTAAATATTTCTGTTTTGCTTATAAATAGTTAAGTAGAAATTTCTTTTTTCGTATCTTCGAATATGGTTTAATTTTGTGCGAATACGGATTAAATTAATGAATTTTAGATGCAGATGTTTTACTGAAGCGTTCAAATAACAAATTACGCGTAATCGAAATTAAAAAATAAGCATAGAATAAAGTAAATCGTAAAATTTAAAATAAAGAGTAAAATAAAAATTGCGTACAGAAATGCATAAAAAACCAGGCAACGCGAAAATATAAGGTGCAAAAATTAAAATATTTANTTAAAATAATTAATTTTTCTGCTGAAAGCATTTAAATTCATTACGTAGACTTACGAAAAATAGATTAATTAATGAATTTTTACTTAATGAATAATAAATAACAATGTTAATCGCAACGTCCTGATAGGGAATGTTTGCTAATAATGATAATGAAAATATTTCTAGATTAATTTCCTGTAGTATTAAATATATATATACGTTTTATTAAAATGTCTCGATTAAGAATGGTGCATTTTCCATTTAAAATAAGAGTTTCTCAATAAATCTCAATGTAGCGAAGAATTAAATTTATTGAACTAAGGGTAAGCCTTGCCAAATTGCGGCAAAAAAATAAAATTAAATATCGTACAATAAGCTAAATATTTCTGTTTTGCTTATAAATAGTTAAGTAGAAATTTCTTTTTTGTATCTTCGAATATGGTTTAATTTTGTGTGAATACGGATTAAATTAATGAATTTTAGATGCAGATGTTTTACTGAAGCGTTCAAATAACAAATTACGCGTAATCGAAATTAAAAAATAAGCATAGAATAAAGTAAATCTTAAAATTTAAAATAAAGAGTAAAATAAAAATTGTGTACAGAAATGCATAAAAAACCAGGCGAAGCAAAAATATAAGGTGCAAAAATTAAAATATTTACTGTGAGTAAAATTTAAAAAAAAGAGTAAAATGAAGTAAAACTTGAAATATTAACTATAAATTACAGCAGAAAATAAGGAGTAGAAAAATGTAAAATATCAGGAATAGTTAAAGCGTAAAATATGAAGTATAAGGTAAAGTATTACGTAAAGAGTGAGATATAAAGTGAAGCATAAAGTAAATTTTAAAAATAGTCAGGCGTAAGTAAAAAATAGAGTTAAATGAAGGCGGAAAGTATGAAAGTAAAGCGTAAAGTAAAGAGAGGAAGGTAAAAATCAGAAAGTATAGGAAGTTAAATATAGAAAAAAAGTTAAGCGTAGTGTAATGTAGGGCGTAAAGTAATGTGTAAAACATTAAGAAACTTGTAAAGAAAATGAAGCGTAAATTCAAGTGAGGCGTGTTATACACAGTAATGTGTAAAATTAAGCGTTAAATATCATATTAAATATAGAATAATATAAAGCAAGAAATTATATAAAAGTGTATCTTGTAAAGATGAAAATAAGGTTGAATTATAAAGCAATGCTTAAATTAGAAAGTTTAAAAAAAATGTAAAATATAGTAAAAAGTAAAGTGTAAATTAAAGAAGGCACTAAAATAAGATATAGTAAAAAGCGCAGCATAGTTTAAAGTAAAGTATAAAGTAGAAGCGTCAAGTAAACTTAGCATGAAGTGAAGTATGAAGTAAAATAAAATGTGGAGTGCAAATTAAATCACAAAATGTAACGTAAAGAAAACAGCTAGTAAAGTAAAAAGTGAAAAGGCTTATTAAAAATTGTGTTTACTGGAAAGTAACCGTGGAATTAAATGTAAAGTAAAATGCATGTCAAGTAGCAAGTATAGTAAACCATAGAATATAAATTATAGAGTAAATTAAATAATAATGTAAGTTTGACTAGTGTATATATATATATAGTTTTGACTAAAACTAATATATGACCAAGAGTAAACTAAAATTAAAATAACGTGTGAAATATAGGGGCCACTTATTCGAAATATATTTAATCCATATTATTTATGTAAGGCATTTCTCCAAACATCATATACACCACACAATTTATTTCTGAAATTCTCAAAAGAAACCATATTCTCTATGAATCTCCGTTTTTCGCATTGCCGCAAGTGGATTAGATGAAAAAATTAGTTTTATTCGTCATTTTAATCTTATTAATATCATAAAACGAGAGAATTCTTCAAAGACCGGGATATCGTGGTTAGTAGAGAGCTTGGACCATGTTTAAGTGGTCGTGAGTTCGATCCTCGCCGACCGAAGACTCCCCATTTAACAATTGGTGACTAGTGCTCTTTAACTCGGTCAGGTCACTAAGTCCTCCATGTTTCCATAACATATCAAACTTCTGGGGGAACTGTTTGCTAGATCGTTCTCTGGTTCAGATCAAAATTATGATCGGTGGATGAATGAATGGGTCTACCATTTTAATGGGCTGCTACGTGTGTGTCTGAAGTCACATTACTGGCCGAAAATGGCTCCGCTGAAAAGCAAGAAACTCACCCACTTCTTTTAAATTAGCTTAGTTTTAACCTGAGCATCTCTCTATCGTCAAACACGAAGTTGAAATCACTGATTTTTTAGCATATGGCTCATTTGTAGCAGGAAAAAAGTAGTTTCGGGTGGCAGGCAATTGTTTAACATCCATATATTTAGTCTCGCTGTGGTAATTAATTCTTATACTTAAAAGGGCTAACTTTGGTTGACAGAGGTATGAAAAATAATTGAGTATTGCAATGATATTGTAATACAGTGATGTAATAAAAAAAATTCGCATAAATAAGTATATAGTGACCTCATATTCATATGTGTCGTAAATTTATTATTATTTCAAAAGACTGATATTTTATTTATATGTTATTGATTACTTTGCATTTTATAGGACAGGATGTTGTCTTTATGATGGAGATGATGTCTTTATGAGTATTGAGTGATTCATCATAGTTCTGGTAAGAATTATATTCTGGTGTTTCAATAAATTTTCGGACCGTTCAAATATAGTGAAAGCACAATAAAGACGGAAAAGGATTCTGGATTTGCTCACTTTTTCGGACTAAGTGAGAGGAATGTTATGAGCAATGTCTGATAACAAAAATTGAAATGAATTCAAGCTCAAATTTACTATTGTAACATAATTTGATTCTGTCATGAATATTTCAAACGCATCACGTATTGTGTACATTTGGTTTAAAGTTATGACCAGTAAGTGCCCCGATAGTTCGGTTCCTACAATCTTCAGATTTCTAATTTAGTCCCTAGTTATGAGCATTGTTATGATATGATAAGATATTATGATAACTTCGTTCATATCATAATACTTTTTTTTTGAGTTTTACCAATTAGGTTCCTCTCTTGAGGATGGCATATAATTGGCAGGTATTTTGCGATGCATCATAATTCTGGTAATAATATTATTTGTTAATTCTTTTCTGACAAATAGGGAGTATAAGCAATGCTAACATACGACATTGTAATAGGCTACGACAAGAAAAATACATACTTGAAGAATCTAGGTCATAAATTGTAATTTCTTAGGGAAACGTTAAGTAAAACTAGTTTCGGTGGTATTTTTGACAAGTTGACTAACGAAAACAAATTGTGGGCCTGACAATTCCTTACGGTGAGCTATCTTATGGAACCAAAATTCACACTTTCTAAACATACGAAAACGAAAAATTGCTTTTCCCAGAACTCTCTGGTATGTAAAATAACATATACTTGGGCTAACAATTTCCTATAAAGAGCAATCGTCCGCTTTTAAAATTCAAACTCGTTGTGTCAAATTATGAAATGAGATAATTACATAAGATATGTGCAAAGATAAAAATGCAAATTATATTTTTGTAGAAAAATGTTTTTATATTGTATAACTCAATGTTTAATATTTTTTTCTGTAACTTATAATTGATTCAGTAGAAGCATCCACGTTGAGAATCTATTTTTGCTGAAAATTGGTGGCAAGGTTCAAACTTTTTCCTACTTCATCAAGTCGATATATTTTATATATTTTTCTTTTTGCGCCGTATCCTTTTTTGTTGCTTCCTTCAAGTAAAGTTTCGGCAAGCTATTTGCTATAATTCGCTAATGTTTTGAAGCACAATTCGAACTTGGAACTTCGATGACAAATTTAACCAAAAGTAAATTTTGCTGAAACTTCTTATGATTTTTTTGCTAAGCGAAATGGGGAAAAACTAGTTACAAATCGTTACCAGTCAGTGTCATTTTTATAGGGGGCCACTTTTTCAAAAATTGGAAATTTTAAACGATTAAAATAGCTATTCATATTATTTAAGTAAAGCATTTCTCAAAATATAATTTACACTTCACGATTCATTTCTAAAATGCAGAAAAAAATTTCTGTACCTTTTATTTAAAATTTAAGCATTGTATAAGTAATGTTTTTATCTTATAAACATTAGCGCTTATTCTTTTAAACCAGTAATGCTAGATGCAATAAGTGTTAGTTTCGAATCGTAAAGTTTATTAGATACTGAACAAAACTGATATTATCAGGATAAATATAGCGCAATATATTTTATTAAATTATTTTTTATCAACCATAAATTAAAATTTGATGTGTAATTAAGTTGATTTCTAAATGAATCTTTGACAACGAAATTCTGTTCCCCTGAAATATTGATCTAGTGTAAAATAAAATTATTTAGAGTTTCATTATTCAAAAATAAAAATATTAAAAATGTTAAAAAAAAAATTTGTGAGAAATATAAAACTGAAAAAAATAGTTCTTTATTCGTAAAACAAAACTTAAAACCAGGAAATTTTAGAAGAAAACGACGATAGAAAGAGTCTATAAAAAAACACTTAAAATGTCCGTGAATAAAATCGCCGTCAAAAACAATTATAGTTTATGGGACAAAAGTTACCTAAAACTTGTTTTTCAAAGCTTTTTTCTCTTAGGGACGCAAACGATTTCCTAAATTGAGTTAAGGGTTTCGTGATGAAATTCAAATTTGTGGTTTCGTACATTTTAAAAAACTTGTATTGGTCATAACTTTTAACGATTCGTTTTGTTAAAGCAGCGTATGCTGTAAGAATTTTATAAAGTGAGCCTATGTTTTGGGGTAAAATTTCTTTCTTGATGAAAACTTTGCAAAATCTTGTTTTTCCCATATTTTTTCTAGTTTTAATAATGAAAATTTTTGTAAAGTCAACAGATTCCTACAATTTTCGGCAAAATTTCACAGGTTTGTATGTAATAAATGAGCTAAAACTTGTTTCTGCCATACTTTTTTTTATTGATAGGTGGGCTTACAAAAGTCTTTGCTAGGATAGCGATTTCCTACAATGAGCCAATGTTGTACCCTTTCTGCCGGGCTGACCGTAAGATGTTTTCGTGGTTTTTTTACTCCATATAACACAAATGTGGGTCAGTTCCATTAAGAAGTCCTTCCCGAAGGCTAGTTTGTCCCAATGCTTGACCGCATATTGGAGCTGATATTGGCTACGGATTCAACGTTCAGGGAGGGCTAGAAAATAAAATGAGCTGATGTTTAAAGGTAAAATATTGTGCTTTATTTGTCAAAAGTTAGCTAAAACTTATTTTGGCATTATCGTGGGCAAACGTCTGAAGGTTAAATAAAAATTTGTTGTATTTGGGTCATAAATTGTATAGGTCGAAGTGTCTTTATTTAGAACATTTCAAATCAATCATTTTACTTAGACCTTGAAAAATTTATGTATTTAGAGAAAAAAAAATTCAGAACATTCTGTAGTTATTTATTTTTTTGATAAAGAAAAAAGATTTTTTTTAAAAAAATTATGAACCTACTTGCATATTAAACTACAACAATATCATGCATCCTATTCAATTATTAGGTAATTGGGATAAAAAAATTTTAGTAGTTATTGGGTCTGTAATTGGCAAATGAAACTGGAGAAGGGATATTAAAAAAGGATAAAAATGTATTCTGGAATTCACATAAAAATTTTTTTCATAAATTTGGCTCATGTCTAATGCTACAACCAGGGACATATACACTTTCACGTTCACTGTTAGCTATGCCTAAAAATGCAAGTAATAGGTACTACATCTGTTAATACTGTCGGCTTTGAAACATCATATATAATCTATTGTAAGAACTGTACGAAAGGATCATTTAATTTTATGCAGACAATTAATAAAGCTATTATTTTTCCTGTGCGTTATTTTTTTACCAGAAAAAATTATTGTAGACTAATAATACAGTAAAAGAACTTTTTCCCCTTTTAATGTACTACAGTGACATCTTTTTCAATAGATTTTTTCTATTGTATATAAAAAGACCGTTTTTTTATTCCAGGATTTTTAAAGTTATTAAGTTTAAGGAAATATTGCTTAAATATGAGTTTTATTTACATTGTTGTTAATATACCTTGCACAATTAAAATTGGTGATTTTTTAACTAACTTTTACAAGATTTAAAATGCGTAATACACATTGATCCATCTATTCCAACAGGAAATAGAAGGCAATTTTAATTTTTTTTTGGATCACTGTATTAGCTATTTGGTACATTTTGTGCAAAAACTACAAAACTTTAAAACATTTTTTATTCGCTAAAAGTAGTATATTCTACAAGCTAAACATATTATTTTCTTCACATCTATTCAAGGTGATATATTAAAATAAATAACATTTTAAATAAAATACTTTATAATATTGACACCTTTCTTGTACACATCTGCACTTTATGAGAAAAGAAAATACGCTGACCTGGAAGTTTTAAGATTCTTACTGGAAAACCTAGAAAAATCAGGGAAATTTGAAACCTGATTTGAGTGGCCATCCTGTTTTTAACACATTACCAAAAAGTTCAAGTTCTGTTTTTACTTATTTCAAAATAATTTAACAAAAAAAAAACTTTATTTTTAAAAAAATATATTTCGATAAATTTTATTCTTTGCACTACATGCTGAATTGGTATTTTTAAAACATATTATTTTTTAAAAACAAAGTTCTATCCCATTTTGTTAATTGTGTATGTTTTTTTCCTTAACAGATTGATGCTATAAAAAAAACAGAAAGAGGAACGAAAAATGGAATTAGAGATTTGTTGCTAAAAATTTAAATTGATTTTGTCAAATATTTAGTCTTTTAATTTGTTAAGATTAATCGAAAGATTTTATTTTAGTATATTAATACTAAATTTAGAGTGTGTTATTGTTTGAACAATTAAATTTATGCTTATTTAGATACAAGAAAGGAAACTGAATGGAAAGCAGGTGGAATTGAATGAGTTAAAGAAAAGAAGAGTCTCAGATGGAAAGCAAACTCAATTCAAGTAAAACTCAACTTGATGCATTAACTTCTTCTCTACAAAGTAACACCCTTCAGATAAGTCAAGTAAATAATTTCATATTACTTAATATTGTTTATTAAGTTTTATCTTATTTTTAAAAACACTTGTATTTATAAAAGACAAGTAATCCACTTTAATGTGATAATAATAGTGAATTAAAAACAATGCATGAAAACACAAATGCATCATTCTCGCTCAATCTAATAATTTCTCCATTTCATTTTGCCTATTTGATTCGAAGAATGAGTTTGAGGAACTGAAATTTATGCACTGTAAAAAACACAATAAATCCTTTATACTTGTCAAGAATAAAAGCTACTTATTTGTCATTTATTTTTTTTTTAAATAAATTTAAAGCTCATTCTATAATTTGCTTTTTATGGAGAAGAAAAAGATGTAAACATAGCCTTATTTTATCCTTTTTCTATTTACTTTTTTTTCAAAATAAATTTCAAGCTTATGTAAGCAATTTAATTTTTTGTATATTTGATAAACAGATAATTCACGAAAATTGTACTTACTATATATTCCTAAGCTATGATTTTCAATTATATCCTCTACCGCATCATTCTGTTTTTGAAAATTGAGCTTTGCGAGCTACTTGTTGAAAAAACTTGGCAGCTTAAAATATTTACAACTTAATTCGTCTTAGTTGTTTTTTTTTGTTGAAAACAATTAAAGTTGCCTTGTTTGTGTATTTTTGTCCAGATTAAAATTAAAAATGATCAAATACAAGACCAAACACAATACAGCACAGGTTAATGAGTGAAGCTATCAAAGATATGGATAAGCAATTTAATTTTCGTCTGTCTGTTAAAGTGATAATTCACTAAAATTCTAATTATTATACTCCTTGGCTACACTTTTCAATTATATCCTTTTGCTGCATTTGTAAGTTTTTTAAAATCAACTTCTTAATGATAAACTTGATACCTTAAAATACTTAATTTGAATGTAGATTGTTTTGTAGAAGACTTACTTAACTTTCCTTGTTTATTTTATTTTCTTCTAGATAAAAATTAAAATTGACCAAATACAAGAGCAACATAGGTTAAATGAGTGAAGCTATCAAGGATATGGATAATGTACTTTCTTTTGGTGATTTCCGAAGTATATCAGACTTTACTTTGAATGGCTTTTCTACACCTAATGATGACAGAGCCTATATTTCACCAACATGTAAGTATGCATTTAGTTTTGATTAGATTATTTATCACTTAGAAAAATTTATTGTGTTTATCTTTTATTCACATCTTAATGGTTCATGTAAGTTTTAATTATTGTAATTTGTTTACATATATAAAAGAAATTCTAATTTCAACTATTAAATACAATACTTACATTTCTGTTCCAATTTTAAACTGTATAATTTTTAAAAATAATTATCAAACATCCAAGTGTTAAAGGCATTCCCTTTATTTTTCAGGATTGCAAATTTCTGGTATGTTGGGAGTATATGTTGTTTACAGAAACCTAAGATAAAAGCTTTTAAAATTTAAAAAACATTAAAAAAAATACAAGTCTCCAAAATTTTCCATTCAAACCATTACAGAGTGGGACACTGCTAACTTATTGATTCCAACACATATGACGTCCTTGAATCTCAAAATTTTTAGCTTTATGGTATATTTAAAAATGTTTTTTATCGTGTTTTATTTTTTGAAATACTCTTGAAAAAAATATTTTGATATTTTTGATTTTTCATGTTTTTTTCTGGTCATAAGTATTGCTTTTTAAAAGAAAAGCTTAATATGCAAAATATTATGAAAGAAAATGAAAATTAATTGTATATAACATATTAAAATTGTTTTTGAAAGGGGTAAATCCATACACAGTTACTCATATCTATCACATATCTATAAGTAGATAGTAGCCCCTGATTTTTGTAAAATTTTAGCGGTTCAAAAATTTGATACATGGGTGATTCTCACGAAACATGACAATTCGGACCAAAAAATTTCTTCAAATTTAAAGTCTTCAAATAATCTAAAATGTTTTTTGTATACTTCTTTAGCTACACTTATTAATATCTTATAGACAGCAGTGTAGTTTATTGACATTTGCTCGAGAAAAAAAATAAAATAGAAATTCACCAAATCTTGAATGCCAGGAAAATGATATATTACCTTAGAAGTTTAAAAAACAGTCATTTTAAGTTAATAGTATGCAACTCAACTTGAGCCTTTATGTTAGATGGACCATAAATTGCTTAAATTAATTCTTTTTATCCACTGTAGAAAGAAACAAAAAAATGTTTGTTGCTGATATGTACAGAATGAAATTGTGCATAATAATCAATCATTAAATAAATAAATAACTTTGATTACATCCAATCATATTACAATCATACATAAACTTGGTATTAGGTTGATATTTGCTTTCCCTCATTACAATATTAGCAGTTAAAAAGAATTTCTGGTAACACTTCAATGCCCTGGTATTCTTAAGCCAGGAAAATGACATCCTGGATAATGACAAATTCGCCATTTTATAACAAATAACTTTAGTTTACTTTAATATTTTGGCCGAAGATGTTTATATTCAACAGAAAACAACAGTATTTCTTAAAATAACTCAGATAAATCTATGTAGTTTTCGTTACTAATGATTTCAAAAAGCCAGGAAAATGAAAGCATAATGACCTACTCATCTTGAAAAATTTTTTAAATAGATTTTGAGCCAGAAAATTGGTTCTTTATTCATGCAACAAGACATGTTCAGATAGGAGGGTATCTAATCAATATATTAACATAAGATATTGATTCCTGGCGTTATCTATTTTGGTAATAAATCATTAAATAAAAGTAACCAAGAAAATAACAGATTTTCATGGGATAAACAAATAATTGACAGAAAAAATTATTTAAACAATACCCTCTGCGTATATTCTAGAAATGCTTACATAGCATAAGATAAAAAAAATTAGATTTTGAAAAAAGTAAGGGAAGTTTTGAAGCTAGTTATTATTGGAAATATTGTTTGGGACATGCCAGGAAAATGACATTTTGATATTCAGTTAAAATTTTTAAATATACAGAACAGTCAATGCTAGTGCAAAGTCATTTTAAAATGCTAACAGTAATGCTATTTATTAATTTTTTTTAAGAAAAGTTCTTTTAGTTTTATGGTATTAGATCTTGGAGCAAGGGACAGTGAATAGTCCTGTTTCGTGAGAATCACCAATATACATTTTGATATATGGTATTTTAATTATTCCACTCTTGTGTGTTTCTTTAAAAGACAAAACCTTAGAGCGTCCCTTTTATTAATAAGTACTGGTCTCATGACTTTGACCTAATCATATTTAGTTAGTTTTGATGATTGTTACATTTGTGTTTGGTGCAGTATGACCAATTCTAATTCTTCTGCCATTAAACTTTACATATATTGTAATCCATAAAAAAAAGTTCGTATTATCGCCTATATGGGCTTTTATTTTGTTTTAACAATTTTTTTTTAAATTTTCCTTCCTCCTTTACTGAATGCATTGTATCATATTTCATACATTCAAATGGTTTGTGTTACTTCCATAAGTAAAAGAGGAAAATTTTCTTACTAAGCATGATTAAAAATATACACTAACTGCAAGGGCAGAAATTCTTTTATGAGTCTGGGCTTTTCAGCTTTATTCAATGTTCAATCTTTCTTTTTTTTTCGTATTCAAAAGGTAGTTTAAAATGCTTACTGTAATCAACTTTAAGAAAAAAGTGAATGAACTATGAAGTATTCGATATAATCACTTTACTATTCCACAAATGTGCAAAAAGTGCCTGACTGCATCAGAGATGTATAAAAAATGTGTTTTGTTTCAAAAAGTTAGTTTTCAGTTCATACATCATTTAATCCCTCTTCTAGAAACAAAAATGGTTTATATTTCTCAGAAAATATTTGTTTATACAATGATATTTATTAAATTTTTATTATTGTTGTTTTTTGTTATTGAATTGGCAGATGTTAAATTAGTTAGATTGTACAAGTCTACATTTATTATTTTTAATTTTTTTCTTCATTAAATACATTAAATCGAATTTTTATTTTCCAAATTAACGAATTTATGCAACTTTGTGGTAACTTAATTTGTTGGAAATTTGGATATTAATTTTTTTATAGGTTTAGTTTCTTCACACTATGAATATTCAAATCCATACGGTTTGTCTGAAAGTAACTGCAATTATTTTTATAGTAGTACTTAGATTCTATATTAGACTGTATCAAACTGCATTTGTGATTTAGTTAGCTAAATATTTTTTAAAATGCATGAAATATATTTAAGGTCCCAAAAACCTTTGATGAAGTTAAACCAGCTGTAACTACACCTCTCAATGATTTTCAGGTAATCATATTTTCCCATTTATTTCTCTGAAGAGAAATTTTTATATCTTTCTTACTATTCACGCAATATGCACCACGTTTGTGTTCTAAAGATGTGGCCTCATGCTCTCTATAAGGCATTAAGAGAATTATGTCAATTCAAGCATACTTATAGAATTACTTATTACTAAACATATGTGGATGTCAAATTGAAAAATTATTTTGAACAGGTTTTAAATTCATAAGCACTAGACATAATTAAAATACCGATTGATACGCCTTTATCTTTCAAAGTAGTATTTGCTATTTGTTCTATAAATCTTAACCATAAAAGAAATCTGCATGGAAAGCAAGCATATAGAGCAAAATATTATCCAGTATTACACTATCATGTTACATACATTTTCAACTAAAAAAGGCTAAATTTATGCACAGAACTATATCTGCATTTGTTATAATAGTACTTTTAACCATGCATTACAACATGCGTTCTTAAGTTTAAATGTTACAGATAAAATCCGTTAATTTTGTCTGAGTTTTTCGTTTGAAATGCAAACAAAAAGGAATTTTACTGCTTTCTCTATAAAAGTTACATGGCTTCAAAAATCAATTTAAGGGTATTTCCCCTATTAAATGCGTAAACAAGTTTGAAATGCTCTGAAATATTTTGGGAAATAGAGAAAGTGAATCTCAAAGAAAAGTTCGTTAAATATGAAATTCATTTTGCTATTTGGAATCTATTTTACGAAGAAATTTCCAAAATCTTCTTGATTCCTCGAAAAAATTCACAAAATAGAGAAATTCGCAAAAGGGAAGTTCGTAAAATAGAAGTCCAAATGTAATAATAATAGTTTTTCATGTCTCTGCAAACACACGCAATTTTGTTTGGATTGTGCTCATTTTCATAGTTCATCAACTGTTGGAGTATTTTGTATTTAAATGTGTTTTTAGATTTAAGTAGCTTTTACCATGCTTTAACTCTCTGGTCATCGCAATCTGAAATGCAATACCTCCCTAAAATATGCCCGAAAATCTGCTCCCAAACTTTCTTCCCCTCTTTCTCTACACGTTATGATAGTCAACTCACCTTACCAATGCACAGTGGGCCAGCATCCAAGGTTTCGTGGCCAAAATTAGTATTTCGATAAAATTTGCTTCAAAATTTGGCAGTTTTTATGTGCTGGTGAATTGAATTCATTGTTGAAATTTTGAAATACATTAAAAATACCAAAAAAATACAAGATGGCGGCTGAAATATGGCAAGGAAAAAATATNTAAATATAGCAATGAAAATATAATAATTTTCGTAATTTTTTATTAAAAATGAGAAGCAAATTATATTTCCCAAGTAATATTACAAAATAACGCGAATTAATTACAAAATAACGCGAACAAAATGAAAAAAAAAACATCATTTTTGTTCTTCGGTACATTTAGTCCACCTTTGCAATATGGACAAAATGGGGCAGGTTTTTCTGAAAGAAGAAACATCAAAGAAGAAAGACAACAAAAAAAGTTTAGCTAATTACCACGTGGAATTTTTGTGGAGATAAGTTTCGAAAGTCATTCAAGCATTGTAAAATGTCAAATGATAAGATATAAACTATAAGTTTGTCAAGAGTATTAACTAAACCATCAAATTGAAAAATTGTACTATAATTTCAGACTAATTACTCTGATAAAAATGTAGCAGAAAAATGAAATTCCTATATATATTTCTAAAATAAAAATTTAAATGTTGCATTAAAAACAAATTTTTTAAACATATTTTTCATTGCATTGTACTCTTGTCGGTCCAAAAAGTAAATTATAATGTTTGGAATGATTATGAATACTTAATTAGGACGATATTCATCCTAAACATATTTTAGTTGAAATTTAATTTTTGACTTTTGGCCAAAGATCATGGTCTTCTGTGCAATGGTAAGTGCTAAGAAATTGAAACAGGGGAGACTTTTCAGGGACGAATGAAGGTTGTATTGAAAAAAATCTTAGCTTTCTGTTTTTTTTTTTTTAAATCTCAATTCACTTTGTTGTTGAGAATTAAAATCAGAATACTTATTAAAAATATAAACCTCAAATTTTTTTTAAAATAAAAGTTTTTTTTTTATCTGGAGACAGTTTTTTTTTTCACTTCATAATTAAAAAATTTTATTTATTTTTGAAATAAAGAGCTGATTTCACTCAAATTTTAAGTTACTTTATTGATTGTTTCCATAATGTGACATAATTAATTAATATCATTTTCAAGATCTAAAATTAACTTCGCGTTTTTCTAATTTTTTTCTTTGAATATGTGGAAACGCATTACATGAATCAAATTTATACAGGCAAAAACTAAATTTATTTTACTTGTCCTCATAAATTGTTTATAGAATATACATTTGAAAATATTAAATTTTATATCCTTTTAAAGTGAAACAAGATTTTAATATTATAGTGAGTGATAATGAGCTGTAAAGAATAAAATTCTAGTTCACCAGGTTTTAATAATTTCTTTCTTTCTGTATGGGAATAATAAATTGCGATTTTATAGATTATATTTTACTTATAGACTCTAAAAACTTTTATTATGTGGCACCTGAAGAAATTCTGAATCTAATACAGATTGTATAAAGTGAATTTCAATTTTGTTCTTTTTCCTCTAACATTTAAAATATTTAACAGTACCTTCATACTTTGGTAATTATAGATTATTTTCACTCATAATTAATCTAACATGCTTTATCAATCATGAAAAAAATGAAAACAGTAGAAAAAAGCACCTTAATTAGCTGTTATATAAATTCAGATTCAATTTGATATTGGCGGTTGAACCTAATTTAATGAAGGTAATTAAATTGTTGTTGTTAACAATTATTCAAAGCAAATTATATATTTTTTAAAACTAATTAATATACAATGTTTAATTTGAAGTTTTACTTAATATATTTTTAATTTTTGATTCAATTATATAATATATAATAGTATTGTTATAATGTATCAACAAACAATAGTCTCTAATTGAAAATTATTATTTGCATATTATTACACCTCTGTATCCCTCTATTTACCCTCATAGCGGTGAAACCCTGAACAAATTTATAACACGTTTTAATCATAACTCCCCAAATTTTTACAAAAAAATTCAGGGTTGAAAGCGCAAAATGTTCCCATTCCTGTTATACTTTTTTTTCAATTATAGATATTTTATCGTTATTTCCTTTGCTTAAATGTTATATTGGTATCTTTCCAGGAGTATCAATTTAAAAGTAGTCATCGCTTCGAAGGTAAGACAAATGGATTTGTTAATGATCCATTTTCTGGTGAAGATCCGTTCAAATCTGGTAAGATGACGTCAATATTTAGATGAGTTTCCTAATTTCTTTATGTTTTTTCATGGAATTAGTTAACTGAAAGTACCATTTATGTTTCATTTATAAATTCATTTATATATATATATGTGTATATATATCTATATATCTATATCATTCCATGGTCAATCTTCTATTTTTTTTCTGTTTTCTTTCAAATTGAAATATCAGATTATAAAGCAAAGCATTTTTTTGCAAATCTTCAGAGTAAATATATGCATATCTAAAAACACATGTCAATGTTTATATGGTATATTTGTAAATTTTAAAAAAAGTGTATGATTTTTCTTCCACCTTAAAATAACTTAACTATGGATGTGAACCAGCAGTATGTGAATAGGCTGTTCATAGCTATTGATATTAACAATTAAACTGCTGACATTTTTATTATGGCTTGGAGACAACACTATAATTTTAATATATATTTTTTTAAAGGCTTTTATTATGTCTTATTATTTTATATGAAAATTTTATTTTGTCTTAATATTGTTTTGGAGAATTTTATTTTAACTTATTATTAAATTTTTAATGATCCTTTGAATAAGTTCCTGTATTTATCTTAAAATTGCTGATATCTAAACCACTCATTGGTATCTAAACCACACATTGATCATAGCAATTTTTATTTGATTCGCTTTTTTAGAGCTATAAAGTTTTAGTTATAAATTATTTCCTTCCTTAAGTTAAAAATGCTGCTCTTTGCTTTTAACTCTAATGATTTTGTTACACTCTTCAAATGACATTTTGCATTACAAATAGTTTTTGCATAATTAAGGTTTTAATTATTATGTGAAGTTTGCTTTTTATTTAATTTAAAAAACTGAATTTATGTATGTTTCAGCTTTATTGTTTGTTTCACTTAAAAAAATTTTTTAATGATAATAAAATTTTTATTGATAGTTAATGCTATTCAGGAATATATAGTGTCTAGAATTTTCTCTTATTTTATAGATCCTTTTGCTCATACTAATGTTACAGCAGCAGCTAGTGATCCTTTCAGTGGAAACCCTTTCGAAAGTGCTTTTAATGTAACTGCATCACAATAAAAAAAAGTGAGAATTTGGATTTAAATATTTTAAATAATTTCTTTTATTTTGATTATTTCAAATTTTTAACAGGTATTAATAATTGGTTGTTATGCAATACATATATACATTATTATTTTCATTTCAGATTGCAATTCTAACTGCCATTGATTTTCTGTAATTTCTGCGGGTTTTAGTTTTTGTTTCCGATTGCTGAAACTTTGACAAACACAATATTAATTAGTAAAATATTGATCATTTGACTAAAATTAAATGTGCATTTTATCCTTATCGTTTTTCAAAAACAAGACAACTTATAGAAAGCGAATTAAATGTTTTATTTTGATAATATTGCATATATTAGAAACTTTTAATACAATTGATCAAATATGCAGTTCGATCAGAATTACAAATTATTAAATACTATGAATAATGTTTCTTAGGGGGTAAATTATGGAAAAACAGCAATTTTACTCTGCAAATGCATAGCTTTAGATATTATTCTTAAATTTATTTATTTTTTTAAATTTTTCTTTATTGTCAAAGTTTTTTTATTGTGAGAATTAAATCAAAATTTATAGTTTAAGGGTTTTGAATTCCTTTTTGTAAATTGGTTAAAAAATACATTTCTTATTAGTTTTAATTCAGTTTACTGTATTATACATTTTTAAACATAATTAAATCTAAAAAAAATTCAATGCATATACATTCTATTTCACATATTTCTTTTGCTTAAAACTTATGATTCTTATAATATTAGAGCAAAATGTTCCGTTATATACTGGTTTTAAAAATTAAGAAGAAATTTTAGATGTAATAGATTATATCCAGAAATACTGTATATATTTTAGTGAAATTTACTATCAACATAGTTAATGTAATACAAATTTAATGACCTTTCAACAAATATAATGCCTTTTGCATGATCAAGTGTATTACTCATGTGAGTTCAAAGGATGAAATAGTGGATAAGAAAATGTAATAAAAGAATAAGCTAATATGGTCCTGCATATGGGATAAGCCTAGAATTTATTTTGCTCCAAAGCATCTATCTAGAATGAGATAATCTAGATATGAGAAAATTGAATTTCATCTATCTAGATATGAAGAAATTTACCTTTCATGCAATAGTTTTTTGAGTTGAGGGCCAAGGGAATTGGACAGAGACACAGTTATTTAAAGATAAGTGTAAGCGTTTTGAAGCAGTAAAAAATGTTAAAAGGAATCTGTCAAACCCTCCAGTGGGTTAATGTATTGGGCAGTTTTAACGTTCTTTGAGCCAGTTGGTCATGATCATCTAGCAAATATTGACTTCAGTCCCTTGAAGGGTTTTTGGAGAGATATCGCACGCTTAAATTGCTCTCTAGAGTGTACCAAGCATGCTTTATAGAGATCAGATCCGGAGACCTGATTATCAAATCTACTCGACCAAAGGCCGCACTTTTTCAGAAAATTGTCTACCAGGTGAGCTCTGTATTGTGTTACCTTAAAATGAAAATAGAGATAACCTCACCTCTGCAAAGGCAAACAAAGAGTATCAAGGGCTCTTTTTTATACCTAGTAAAAGTGCTAGTTTGTAAAAGATATAGGGGATCTGCAGCTATTCAGCATACTGCTTACTCAGACCATAAACACTAAGCTTCCATAACTGTAAATTTCTTAATCATTACACTGGTAACATTAGAGAATAGATAGTGGCGCCTTTGTTCAAAAGTAAAACTCTTTCATATGAAGAGAATCAGTGGTTTGCCAAAAGTTCTGAGTATCTGAGAAAACAACCATTATATAAGTCCTGTGTTTGCCTCTTAATGGATACAGTTGACCCAAATTTGATTTAGATCCAGTTTTGATTTTGAACAGTCAATCTCAAGGAAGTCAGACTGTGATTTTCTGAAAAGTGAAAATATAGACTTAATAGATTATCCAGCAAAACCTTAAGATCTCGACTCTATGAAATATGTCTGAAATGCTCTGGGAAGAGCAATTAAAACTTGCAGGCACCCTCAGACAACCATCTAGACCCTGAAAATAGTGTTGAATAATTGAGACCAATTTCTACTTAGCTGATTTATTTCCACCGTTTTTGTTTGAGAATGTATTGTATGTCTGTGAGAAGGGGGCCATAGTTTGGAACAATTTTTCATTTGTTTGAATCAGTAGCTCCTGTTTCATACCTGGTGAATGTTCATTAAATATGTATTGATTCAACTTATGTGTGCATTCAAAGCATTATTATTTTCTTTAAAGGGTGATCCATTCTCTGGAAGTAATTTGATAGTGCTTCTACCCCCTGGTAAGTAGTTGTATCAAAATTTATTGCATTTTGACAGATCTGAATCTACTTGTGTATATTTTTTGATTTTCATTTTTGAAAACTCCAGCTTTCCAAGTTCTAACTCTAGGCAAAATTGAGTAAGCTTTTCCCTGCTACTAACTTGTTACCCATTGAATAACATTGAGATAAGTTAGTTTCTGTTACATGGGCCGGAACAGCCTGGTTGGTAGGTTGCTGGGCTCATGTTCGTGAGTTCGAATCCTGCTGGCCAAAGAATCCCCGTGTATTAAATTGTGACTAGGACACTTTAAATTTGTTGGGGTCACAAAGTCCTTCAAGTTTCCATAACAAATAAATACCCCTGGAAGTACTGAATTGGACATTGATCTTCCTCTGGTTAAGGCCAAAGTCATGATGCGTGGAGGAATGAATGGAGCGTGAATGGGCCTTCCCTGTAAAACGGGCTGTGACGTGTGTATGGCTGCTCTTGGGCATAGATGGCGCTACTGAAAAAACAAGAAATGCACACTCTGCCTTAAAATAGCTTGGATTCTCATGGCAGGATTGCCGTTATCGGCAAGTGACATTTGTTACAACAGTTTTTGTTGCAACAATGCAACCTGTTCATCCTTTTGACCAATTTGCAAAGTTATGCAAATATTTCCCTGCCAAGCGCAACAAATTGATGTAGCTAAAAGTTTAAGCTTAGAAAGAGCCTGAACTATTACTTAGCTGGTTAAAAATTATTTTATTCTAATTATTTTATTCTAATTATTTTAATAAATGCATTAATACTTATTTCTTGTTTTTAGAAAAAGATCGTTTTGATCCGTTTGGTTTATCTCAAGCAAATTCTAATCAAGCTCCTTCTATGGTATGCATGTCTTTTTGGTTTTAATTTGTTTATAGCTGATTTTCAATTGTTCAATTATTTAATTTCACTGAATTTTGAAAATTGAAAATTTTCTTAATGGATGAGAGATAAATATTCAGATTATTGATGGGTAAAACTGTCTGCATTTATAAATTTTGGTTGTTGCTTAATGTTTGCAACTTTATCTATTTTTAAAAAATTAACTTTATAAAAGCAGGTTGGCCACCCATCTTGAAGACTTGGAATTATCAGGGATTTTTTTTATACTGGAAAAAACCTGAATAAATCAGGAAATTTTTAAGAAAAGCTAGAATTTTTTCCTAAATTAAATTTATTTTACCATTCATTATATCGTTTCAGCTTTATTGTTTGTTTCA